TGGATGGATGGATGGATGGATAAGGAATGGATGGATGGATGGATGGATGGATGGATGGATAAGAGATGGATAAGGAATGGATGGATGGATGGATGGATGGATGGATGGATGGATGGATGGATGGATGGATATGGGATGGATAAGGGATGGATGGATGGATGAGGGATGGATGGATGGATAAGGGGTGTATGGATAGAAGGAAAGATAAGAGATGGATGGATGGAGTTATCTTTCAACTGGAAGTCCAATATCAATGAACAATGTTATAAAATCTGAATATGGGGAGTCTCTAAAATGACTTAAAAGGGGGTCTAACAGTGTTATTTGAGATCAGATCAGGTTTTACAAGCACTTTGCGCCCTTAACAGAGTAGGAAATGTCAAATATAAGGAAAAAGAAAAAGGCGTCCTCTTGACAGCTCGACAATAAGACAGAATAGTCCAATTTCTGGGCTGAGCCGTCCCGTACATGCTGCCAAGTTTCATCTTTTTGTTATAAAAAAAAAAGCAGAAGCCGTTCTCATTAGTAGTACTGTTCTTCTCAAAAGTATTTGAAGGCAGCATTTTATGGTTTCCTTTTTCAGATGGGTCAGAAACTGAACTGAAAAATCAGACTGACCCATTAAAAACATCATACATCTATCGAGAGGTTTTTGAAGACCACAAGTACATTTTTTTTAATTATCTCCCATCGTGGTCCTCGTAGGAGCTCCACCCATTTTCAAATGAAGACTAAAAACAGTGGAGACATTGGAGCTGCTGTCATTGTGTCACTCTCACACAGCTGAGGTTTCCTGTTTAGACCCGGGATCTGAACACATCACAGAGTGACACCATTAAACCAGACTGAACACGTTCGTTGTTTTAGCTCTGAGTCTTTGCCCATCTCACACCGAGCAATCAGAGAGCAGGAGCCCCGACCCTCCACAGCTATAAAGCCTCTCCAGCCGTCGCTCTGCTCCAATAAAATCCTGATTTTATAACCTCAACTTCATCTGACGGAATCACCATTCAGAGACCTTAAAGACAAAGTCTGAGCTATATATTCAGCTGGTGTGGATCACGATCTCCTACACAGAAACTGAGAAGAACAATACCTTTTAAATCCTCCCAGGGACGTGTACACTCATACAAAGAGGATTTTCTAGTTAAATATCCAGGTTGAACTCTAACAATAGCTCGACTTGGTTAAAAAAATGTGCCAAGTGGCTCTGATGCCTGCTCACCCCGCCCTGCCTACTACAAAGGAGTTTGGCGTCTGATATGCAAGGATCTCCATTTTACAAATTACCAACGGTTTGATTCATTTAATAAAACACAGAAACAGACTAAATAAATGATATGAAAATGATGTTAGGACAGAGATGCAAGTCTGGGGATGAATTTCAAGATGTTGCTGCTAAACATAAATACAGAAACATCAGATTTGTTCCCGTGTGGATGAGGTGAGAGGAACATCCCGACATGGCTCATAAGGGGAGAAATAGTTTGAACCTTTAATATCATGATCAGAGAATAGACACGTGAACTAAGAAGCCATCATTCTGACTCCGTTCTGAGCCGTAAAATCCAGTATTTGGAGCCATGAAAAGTTGTGAACATGGAACAAAAACCTAGTCCAAAGCAGCAGTCTGAGCTAAAAAAACAGCATGCTAAACTTGGAATTAGTGTGTGTTTGTGCGTGTGTGTGTGTTTCCCACATTCTTCACATTCCTCACCGCAGTAAACACTTCCTACCTTGTCATTACCCACAAACCACCTGGCCCCCGTCACCTGGATACCTGAGTATGTGTAACTGAGCAGCGGTTTGCTAAAGACCGTCATCTATAATAGATCACACACACACACACACACACACACTCATGTTTTCATCTCTTCAGAGGTCCACATCTTTGACTTAAACTACTGTCTATGTCCAGAGCGCCAGGAAAAACACACTCATGTCCTCACAACATGACCAACACACACCACAGTGCCATAATCTGTAGCTCAGCCCCCCCCCCCCCCCTCCTCCCTGGGGTGTCTCTCTGGGACTCACTCAGTAGGTGTGTGTTGTACTTGCTGGTGTAGTAGTAAACGTCTTCGTATCCTTCCTGGTAGTCGTCGTCCGCCCGGTACCTCCTCCCTCGCCTCCTCCTGCTCAGCAGGCGCAGCAGGGCCAGGAAGCGCTCCATCCCACCACCAGCACCACTAAACCGGGTCCCAACCGGGCCAAACCGGGCCAGGCTAAGCTAACGCAACGCCTGGTGACGACGTGAACAAATCCAAAGAGGGAGTGAGATCAGGTTTCCTCCTCCTCTCCTCTCCTCCTCCTCCTCCCGGCTTTTGCTGGCTGCTGCTGTACACACACTCCTCTGGATATCACACACACATGGACACGTTAGAGAGCATGTAGCGCACACACACACACAGTCACACACACACACGGCTGGTTGTTCTTTGTGTTCTCTCTATCTGCAGCCCTCCTCTCCTCCTCTGTTCTCGTCTTCTTTCGGCTGTTGGTGCATCTCGCCGGGCTCAGCCAATCACAGGGCTGGCTGCATACACACACACACACACACACTAACACACACACACACACACATCCCTGCTCTCTAGCACACCACTCCTCCATCTCAGCCGCTATTGTGTGCTTCCTCTCCTTCATTAGCTCCTTCCATCCTTTGTTATCTCGCCTTGCTGCCTCCATCCTTCCTCTCTCCTCCCATCCTTACTCTCCTTTCCCACCTTCCTCCTCCTCCTCATTCACACACTCCACTCCGGAGAGGGGGGAGGGGGCTCTTCAGGAATGGTGTCAGTGTGTAAAGTATAGTCCAAAACTGTAGATTTCTGTGGTGTGCCGGTTTCCCTCCTGACCGGCCTCTGCTGACCGGCTGCTAGCCGGCCAATAAAAAGCATCTGAGGTCAAACACAACCACCTAGAGGTTTCATTCTGAGATTATTTCTCATATTTCCAAACTACATGGAGACTTAGACGTCAACTCAAACACTACCGAGGAAGTTTTCAACAACACACAACAACAACCTTTGACCGCTGCTTCCAAATTTAACAAACAAGTTCAGAAAGAAAAGAAAGAAAAGAAAAATGTCACCTGGGAAAGGCTTTGGTTCCACGCAGCCCTACTGGGAATAAGCAGCAGAGATAACGGATGGATGGATGGATATGCATCATCTAATACAACATCCACAGACGGACCACCTCTCATAACCATCCATCTACTCTTTGGGCTTTTAAACAGAAATAAAGGAGCATTTGACCTGTTTTTTTGCTTGTTTTTTGTCTCAAAATACCCCAGCCTGTTGACGCTTCACTCACAGGAAGAGTTGGCTGAACAGGGAAGTATGAAGACTAAAGAAATCAATAGGAAGCTACAGTTATGAGCAGAGAGGACCGCTGCTTAAGGTATGACTAGAAACAAATAACAGTGAAATTAAGCTCTTTTAATCATGTTTAATCCTATTAATGGTTAACCCACCTTGTAGCTCATCATAACTCCACAAGCCGGTGATATTGCTTACACCCCCCTGCCCCATCAGAAACGATAAATCACACAGAAAGACGTTATGATATATAAAAAAAAAGAAGTTTCAACTAATTTCAAAGTGAAAACAGTTCAATTTGGCAAATTATTATTGACACCATATACGTGTAAAGCCATCAAAAGGGACAATAGAGCAAAAGGGTATGGTGATAATCAGAAATAAGCTGCAGGGTTTAAGCCCCCATGCGTATCAGGGCATTTTCCCACACGAATCCTGAGATTACTACAAATATGAGTTCAAAGAGGCCTTTTTTTAAACATTCAGAAACTTTCCAAAAGCTGTACAGTCCTACAGCTCCCATTTCTGCAGTTTCCACCTTGTTTTCCATCGTGCACAAGCATGTCCACGTCTGTGTACCTGTGAGTGTACGGGAGGAGGGGAGAACTAATTATAGGGATGTTCAGACATTCATGTGGAAGAGCCGTTTTTGCCTCTAATGTTCAGCGGGAGAAACCTACAGCAGCAGCTAGTGTCTTTACCTGGGGAGCTCTCAGGTCTGATGTGTGTGTCTTTGGGTTGTGGAAGGAACCCCCCAGCTGAGCTTCGACCCTGAAATACTTTAGCCATAAGGCAGAGGTGCCAACTGTGGGACATTTCACACCCTGAAAATGGATCGTCCCGTCAGTATGGAGGATTTTTCTTTTTTTTTTTTTAATCGTCCAAATATGATGGCTGCTGCATCTGAACATTTAAAGGTGACGTATATTATGGAGAAATCTGTTTTTGTCCTCCCGGAAGAAGATATAAGGGGGTCTGAAATCACAGAATGAGCAACCTGGTGTGTTTTAAATCCCCTGTTTAACGAGCTGTTCTAATTCTTATTTCTAAATTAAAGCTAAGCCCCACCCACTCACATCCACCCTGCTGTGGACCAAAGGGGATGGAGCTGCTGTCAACTGTACAGGCATCTCTCTGAATACAGACATATACACACACATATATACATATATTTATATATCCTCCTTTCATTCTAGCTGTTCTGTAACTCTGAATGCTGGGAACTGCTTTGTGTGATAACACTACATCATTTTGACCAGAGCCCATCTCGTGAATCTCACAAACAAAACACCTTCAGGTAAATTTTTCGTTTTCTTAGAAAGAGCAGAATGTGTCTCCTTCAATGTGGACAACACAATGAACAATTAACAAATCTGTTGACACAAAAAGCTTTAGTCCAAATGTCAAATAAACTCATTTTTTTATGTTTTCTCACAGAAAACACAGTTAAGTTTCCATCAGCTGAATATAATGAATAAACCTAAATTATTTTATTCTATTACATTTTAATTATGTTTTATTGCACTGTGTTTATGTATTTTAGGTTTTTAGTTTTTTCCTTATTTCCTGCAATTATGATTTCTGTACAGCACTTTGGTCACCCCGACCCCGGTTGTTTTAAATGAGCTTTATAAATAAAGTTTGAGTTTAGTTGAGAAAACTAAAGCCTTGATAATGTGCAGAAGAATCCGAGAACACGTCAAAGCTGACATAAAGTCACTCTTCTGGTTCACCTACAGACCAGAACCACCACTTAATCCATGAAGCCTCACCGGCCAAACCATGCCTCCAGTTTTACTGATAAAGGCAGCAGACGGCTGGAGGGGTGAAAGTGTGATCACATTTATTCCAGATGATACCGACTGATTACATCATGGTTCAATCAAATCCGTGTTCATTCATGCACATATTTTTTTGTGTTTTTTCATGTTTTTCAGTTTCACATCAATATTTTTTTATTGTATAAAATTGTACAACACGTTAATCAACAAAAATCTTATCAGTTGGAATTTCTTTTTTTCCACTTGGATTGGGCTTCACTTAAATTAATTTCAATAAAACAACAGGAGTACAGCAGATTTTGGGTGAAAGCTTCACCCAGTCAGACTAATAGCCCCCCTGTGTGTGTCCGTGTCCATGTGGGGCAATAACGAGGCTTTGGAGGCTGGACACTCGCCCCCATGTGGTGCAGAAATCCCCAAAAGACCCCAATCCCAATAACCAAGTCCAGATATCAGGGCTCATGGAAATGGAGCTAAAGAGGAGACTCTGAAACAACAGAAACCATGTGATAAAAACATGTTGATTTGTAAGTATATTGTTTATAAAAGTGAGATATGGAAACATCATCAGACTGTTTATGCTGTGACTTATAATAACTTCAAAACGTTAACCTGGTAGATCACAGAGGTGCCTATAAGGAAAATTAGCTTTTTATGAGTTTATAAATGCCTGAAAATGTACTGTGATTAAAGACTACACAAATGAATTACAAAAAAACCCCAAATAGATCCATAAAGAATATCACAGGGAAAAGGGTACTTTCATATGGTTTTGAAAAGAAAGAAAAAAGGCATTTAATCATTAATTGTTAAACTTATTCATATAAAAGAAAATATATACCACAGTAAATGTAACTGTATATCATTAAATATCAGCTTAATTTAAATAATAACCATTTAATAATTTAATATGTTTTTCATGATTATCACCTGCAGCTGCTGGATAGATAAAGTAGAGCAGAAGCATAAATAAGAACACACAATACTCAAACTATAAATAAGAAAAATGTGCACTACAGTAAAAGAAACTGTTGTTTTATTTGAATCAGAATCCATTCGATTAATTTCCCCAAATGAGGATCTAACGGAGGCCCATCGCTGCTTCATAAGGGCCAGCTGGCGGAGAAACACCAATATCTGGGATCAGAGAATGGGATGATCACACCAACGAGGCAAAGATTAATCAGGTTTCCGAGCGTCTGAGAGCTTGAAATACGATCAGAGACGGCCTGAGTTCACAGCGTAGGATTCAAACTATTCTCCAGAATTCAGCCCGACCCGTTCATTCATCAAACGCCTGGTTTGGACCCCTCACAGCGTTACATTAAATAAAACCTCCACAGACACAGCCATACATCAGCGTCCAACCCGACTAAACTCCTTTCAAAGATCAGACATTTGGGGAGCCCAAATGGCCCTCCAGGTCCTGACAGCAGCCCCGGAAAAGCCCACATTCTCAGAAAAGACCTTAATCTGCAACATAACCAGGTTATCTTTGAGTTTAAGTCAATTTAAATATGGAATCTATCAACCAGAAAAGAGAGGACAGCAAAAGAAGGCAGACCGTGTTATTGAGCTGACCACTGCTTCTGAGAGTATTTATTTATTAGCTCCAGTAGTGGCTGTTTTTTAGGAAAAAAACAAACATCCAAGCCAGCCACTGAGCGTTTAGGTCCACCCAGAGGCTGCTGCTGCTGCTGTTTGTCTTTCAGATTTCCCCATCAGGGATTAGCACGGCGCCTAAACCTCCACAGTTTTGTGACACAACACCACAAACAGCTCACAGAACACCTAAAAAACACCTCACCCCATTTACGGCTGTGTGGCAGGTGACCCAGGGTCAGTTTCCTGAGCAGCCTCTGTCTGCAGCCTGTAGGAGCCTCGGCTTGATGTCCGGAGCTCCTACACACATCCAAGTCGGCCATTTTGATTAGGTCATGTGACTAGCAGCTTTCTCAGGTGGAAACGAAACTTTACTGTCAATACGAAGACAAACGATGTCCTAACCCTAACCCCAGCCTTCATAATTGTGAGAAATAAATATTTTTGGGTTAAACTGGTTTGGACTTATTGTACAAACCTATTTAACATCCACTATTTTAACATATTATGTATTCATTTTT